TCTCTTTTATAGTAGCTGAACCTATACTTTCAACTAATATAGTCTACAGTTGTCCCTCACCACTTTGCGCTTCGACTTTCACGGCTTCACTCTATCGCGGTTTTTTCAAATTACTATACTATACTATACTATACTATACTATACTATACTATACTATACTATATTTGAAAAAACCGCAATAGAGTGAAGCCATGAAAGTCGAAGTGCGAAGTGGCAAAGGACAACTATATAAATAAAAAAAATCCTACTTCACAGAGATTAATTTATTGTGGTAGAGTCTGGAACTGATTAACCGTGATAAACGAGGGCTGACTGTATTCAAAGGGGGATGGGTTATTCTTATTCCTACAGAGTGGCTTTGAGACTGCATGCAGACTATATCATAAGAATTAATGTTGTCTTCTCAGTAAAGGACATTACCATTCAACTAGTTTGCTCAGGTCAAAAACTTAGGAGTCTTTGTTTTCCTTGTAAAACAACTGTATTGAGGCATAATTGACATACAATAAACCAAATACATTAAAGTGTACAATTTGATAAGTTCCCACCCAAGACCATCTCCACAATCAAGAGATCATAAACATACCCATCACCACAAATGTTATCTAATGCTGATTTGTAATCTCTTCCTTCTGCCCTCTCCCCAGTTTCCCTCACCTCTAATCCTATCTGGCAACCACTGATCTTTTTGTCACTTTAGATTTGTTTGCATTTTCTAGAATTTTACATACATAAGATCATATAGTGTGTTATTCTTTTTTTTTTCTAGCTTCTAACCTTATTTGGAGGTTAGAAATGATCTTTGATTCCTCTTCTTTCATTGCCACCTCCTGCCCCCAATCCATTCCTTCATCAAGTTCAGTAACCTCTACTTGAATACATGTACTTCTCTCTATCTCCATTGATATTATCTTTGCCTAGATCACCATCACCTCTCTCTCTTGTACTATTGCAATAATCTTTTAACTGGTCTCTTTGCTTCCACTCTTGCTCCCTCCAATCCATTCTCCACCTAGAACCCACACTGATCTCTTTAAAATGGGATTATATTAGTTTCTTCAGATAATTTTAATCCCCTTCTTGAAACCATTCAGTGGCTTCAGATCACACTCAAAATAACATTCTAACCCCTGACTGTAGCTTATAAGGCCTTTAATGGTCTGGCCCCTGTCCAACTCTCTGATGTTATCCTCTGCTATTCTCCCTATCCAGCTTCTTCAATTTGTTCTTCAAATATGTTAAGCCTGTTCCCATCCTGAACACTTTGCTCTTGCTATTCCTACTGCCTGGGTTGTTCTTTTCCCACCTCTTTGCATAGCTGGCTCATTCTCATTTTTTTGGTCTCATCTCCTTCCAGAGAGCTTCCTATACCTAAGTGGCCTCCACCTAGTCATTTCCTAATCACACTGCTATTTTCTTCTTTATTAATATATAAAATTATTTGTTTGCATGTGTATTATTTGTCTTTCCCCACTGGAATAGGTGCTCTATGAGGTCAGGGAGTTTGTCTTTTGCTATATTATATCCTAAGGGCCTAGATCAGTGCCTAACAGATGTTCAAAAAATATTTGTCAAAGCAATAAATAAGTGTATTGAGCATGGGTAAAGCAGAGCTGAGGGACAATAAAAAATCACTTTTCTAATTTGCACAACTGATTAAACCGCAGAAGTAGTATATTACTTTACTAGTGAAGTCTTCGGTGTGAAGTCTGGTTTTTCTATGAAAATAATAGAAGAAAGCACATCTTGGTTATTCTCTGGGCACATGTCCAAATACTGCAGTCTTGAGGGCTTTCATAGATGGTCTCTTCCTGCCATTTTAGAGGCTCTAGAAAGAGATAGGAAATAACTTTATTTTGAAGACCCAAATGAAAAGGAGATATGGCAAAATAATACAATGGCTTCTAGTCTATAACTGTTATTACATTCTGCCAACTTTATGCTCAAAGAAAGTTTTATTTTCCCCCAGATTTGATTCACTCATGTGGTATCAAGAATTAACATAAGAACTGGTCTGGAACCATGAATCTCCTAGGGCTTTGGTAGAAGTGAATGTGAAGCTACCGCGAGGAACGTTCCCACAGCCCTAAGTGACATGTAGACACTAAAGATAAGTTTTTAGAGTCATATGAGAAAATCAACTGTCATAAGAAAGACCAGCAGATACTCCCAATGGAAGAATTCACATCCGAAAACCTCAGGTGATAAGACATTGTAAAAAATTTTTAATTATGTTAAATATGTTCTAATTATGTTCACTACCAGGCAAGATTGTATTATTAGCCCTGGCCAGTTTGGCTCAGCGGTTAGAGCGTCGGCCTGCGGTCCGGAGAGACCTGGGTTTGGTTCCCGCTAAGGGCACATACTTTGGTTGCGGTTTGTCCCCGGCCCTGGTTGGTTGTGCGGGTGGCAGCCACTCGATGTGTCCCTTTGCGTCGATGTTTCTCTCTCTCTCTCCCTTCCTCTCTCTCCCTCCCACTCTATCTGTACAAAAAATGGAAAAATATCCTCGGGTGAGGATAAAAAAAAAAAAAAAGATTGTATTATTACATACCATTATGAAAAAGAAAAGAGCAGGTAGATTGCTTCCACATTTTGGATGTGAATTTGCTGCTATGAACATAGATGTGCAAATATCTGTTCAAGTCCCCGCTTTCAATTATCTTGGGTCTACACCCAGAAGTGGGATTTCTGGATCTTATTAAAGAAACCCCCACAGATATCCCTTGCCTTTTCCACCAAGTGAGGACACAGTGAGGTCAGCAGTCTGCATCCCAGAAGAGGACCCTCACCTACGCATGTTGGCTCTCTGATCTCAGACTTCCAGTCTACAGAGCTGTGAAAATAAATGACTTATGAGCTACCCAGCCTGTGGTATTTTGTTATAGTAACCTAAAAGAACTAAAACATATTGGATTAGGGCCACCCCAAGATCTAATTTTAATATGATTACTTCTGCAAATAGACGTCATTTGGAGGTACTAGGTGTGTGTGTGTGGGGGGGTGGGGGTGGGGGCGGGGTGGAGGAGACACAATTCAACCCCTAACACAAAGACTAAGAGAATTTACTCCTCAAAGACTCTTCCTGAAGAAATCCACTGAAGATTTACTTTATCAAGGAAGAAAAATGACCAAAGAAAATAAGAGAGGACTCTTTCCTAAGGTCACATTGCTGTTAAGTTGTGCAGGTAATACTTGAACCCAGGTTGTCTGACACCTTAGCTCATGCTCTTAATTTTTATATTATACAAATATCTATGAAGAGTATTTAAAAATCTCATGAAGAACAGGAAAATATCTGAGACTTTCTTTAAATTTCAATATTCAGTCATTTACTGATCACCTATAATGAAATTCTAAGAAGACCCCCCAGAGTAAAATTAGGCCCTTTTTTTCCTTTCTCAAATTAAAGAGTGATGGCGAATTTTCTTCTGAAGAATTCATTCTCATTGAGTGTTTAATTTGTATTCTTTCAGTGAGGCATTGTGATAGGTATTCTGAGTAGAAGTGCTGGGAGTCCAATCATTATTCTATAGTTTTTATTTCAAGGACTTTACAGTCTAATAAGAAAAAAATATTTTTTCATCCTGGCTGGTGTGGCTCAGTTGGTTGGACATCCTTCTGTGCACTGAAAGTTTGCCAGTTTGATTCCCAGTGAGGGCACATGCTGAGGTTTCAGGCTCAGTTCCCTGGGGACAGGTAGGAGGCAGGAGGCAGGAGGCAGCAGGCAGGAGGCAGCAGGCAGCAGGCAGGAGGCAGGAGGCAAGCTGATCCATGTCCTGTTTCTTTCTCTTTTTCCCTCTCTCTTCCTCTCTTTCTAAAAATGAGTTAAAAATCTTTAAAAAAGAAAAAAAAAGTTTTTTTAAAGGTAAAAAGTGTCATGTGCCTTCAGAGAGGAACAGATGTAATCTTGAGGAGAATACAGAGGAGAGATTATTTTTGATCTGTTCAATGAGTGAGATTAAAAAAAAAAAAAGAGGAGGAGTTGACCTTGAAAAACAAACACGATAAGGGTAACTACATCAACTTAACTACAACTATTTATTGAGTACCTACTGTGTGCATGGTGAGATGCTTGGAGCTTTTCATTCTGATCTTATTTATTCCTCACAGTAACCCTGTAAGGTCAATATTGTTACTTCCAAATTAAGGGAGATGACAAACTCTATTGCCACACCACTAGTAAATGGAACCAGACAGACCTAGGCTCAATGTAGACCAAACCTTCAATCCAGATCTGGCTGGTTCCAAATTCCTGCCGTTTACCCTAACTCACAAGTTTTCAGAGTAGGTAAAACAATCATTTTCTCCATTTTCAAAAGTCAAATTTCTATCCATCCTTCTTGTTCAAATGCTAGGTCTTTTACAGCAAATTCTCAAAATGTGGTCTGCAGATGACTTGCATCAGATCATAAGGGTTGTTTGTAAAAGTACAAATTTACGGGCGCCAATCTCAAAGATTATAAGTAAATAAATTTGGGACAAGAACCAGAAAATCTGTATTACTATTTTTTAAAACAAACTTAGTTGGTCTCTCTTGAGAACCGCTGTGTCAAAAGATCTTCCAGGAGCATTCAGTAGAAATAAGTTCTTTGAAAGAACACTTCAATAGCATTCTAGTCTTCTCCATGCTGGCATACTTGCGGCGCGGGCTGATTTTTTTCTCATCCCTGACATTATGCGGACTAGCTGAATGACTGTAGAGGTTTCGGCCTGATCCACATACATCTCAATTTAAGAGCACAAACTAAGCTATTTGTCAAAATGCTTAAAACAATACACGAAATCTGAGTGTTGTGTGGTGTCTGGAAGGATGAGAAGCAGGGCAGGCCTGGTAGATCAATCACATGGAGAACACAGACCATCGGAATCCCGGTTATTTCAAGAGCTACTAGCTGGGGAGAAGGGAAGAAGCCCGACTAACTCGACTCATGCGCAGGCGCAGAAGAGAGGGAACTAAATCTCCAAGGAGCGCCCTTCCCCCACACTCTTTCCGGCTTTCTCCCGCCGCGCAGGCGCAGAGAGTGAGCCAAGATGGCGGCGCCCGTGGATCTCGAGTTGAAGAAGGTAAGAAAGCGTCTGGAGCATACCGAGGCTTCTCTTTGGTAGCTAAGGTGACTGTAGACAAGAATATCGGGGAAGTTTGAGTCTTTTAGCAGGAAAGAGGCCCCAGGGGACTGGGGGGTGCTTTTCTAAGGCAGGACTGGGTCTCCTTAGGTTGGAGTTGGGGGCGAGCGGCTTTTGCTGGAGCCGGTTGGGCTGGGTTTGGTTGAGTCTGGTGGGCCGATAGCTGGCCTAGCCCCTTGTTTCGAGCTCCAGAGCCGTTTCGTTGCGCTTGGCGCCTTCAGGTCCATAGTAAGGTCTGAAATAAGCGTTTTATATTGGAGCTCCTTACTACGGGTTGCCCGAGCTGAGGCATCTGTAATACTGCATCTTAATTTGGTTTGAAGAACTCCAAGCCCGACCTGTGTTTTTAGACCACTTATTCGATCCCAAACCTGAAAAGGTCGCACTACAGTTCAGTCAGATATGCTCATAGTAATGTTCATCTCAGGGCTTTGGCTCCCCACCCCCACCGTTTTTGGAGGAGTTGTCTGAGAAAGAAACAAATCCCGTAAAGGTTTCCAAATAAAATTGATATCAGGAGAAATTAGGTTTCTCTCTTAAATTGCTTTTAAATGTATTGTTACTCAGAAACGTTTCCACCAACAAAGAGTCGTCAGTATTCTAACACCACTACCGACCCCAAACCATATTTTTGGGGGGTAGAGGAGGGGAACGGGGATTGAAAAGAATCCTAGGCTTCATCTACTTGAAACCTATCCTTTTGTAGAAAAGGAAACTGGGTTCCAGAAAAGACTCCGTCAAAGGTTGGGGCTAGAATCCAGTATCCCCTGCCTCACCTTTTGGCTATTCGTTTAGGTTCTTCAGAAGAATACATGTTACTTAAGACTGCTTTCTGGTCAATCTGTGCAAAGTAGTAGGACAACAAATAGCTGTTGATCCTATTAAATGCAGCTGTTTGTTATTGCAGTATTTATGTGTGTGTATGACTTATTTTTTGTCATTTTTGTTTTGAAACTTGTATATTTGGCCCTTATTGGTGTTCTTTCAGGCTGTAGTATCTCAGCTTTAACAATATACTAACTTCCTTAGCAAACTATGTACCCAGCAATCAGGTAATACCTGTAATTTTACATGCAAAACAAAATTCACTTTAAGAATGCTTAAAGTATTCTAAAAGTTTACATTTTTTATCCTGTTAAAAGTTCAAATTTAAGTCAGGGTCTAGTGAAAGAGTTAATAGTGTACAGCTGTGAATGGACTTACCTCCCAGTATTTGAATTTTTTGCGAAGAAACCTGTGGACAATGAATGCAAACCAAGAAAATGATTTCAGCCTTAAATTGGATAGTTTTGACAACCAATTAAATTAACTAAAGAAACTTGTTTTAAGATTTTATCTTCTAATTATGTATTTATTTTTGTGTGTGTGTGTGTGTATATATATATATAAATATATATATATATATATTTTTTTTTTGGCCTGGAAACTAATAGGAAATTTCAGGCTCCTCCCTTCCCCCTAAATAAATCTTTTGAAACCTTACTTGTAGGTGAGAACCAAGTCAAAATAAAAATTAAGCAGTAGCCTTTGCCATATGTTGCAGCCACAAATGTTAGTATTAAGGCATTAATTTAACAGCATGTGAAAGTCATTCCAGGCACTTCAACAAGAGTATCCAAGAACTGTGTTTATCTTTGAGTTAAGTGCACACACCAGTCAAATTTGGCTTGGCATGTGCATATGAAGATGATGATGCAATTCTTCAAAATTTTTTTCTTTTTTGTCTTTCTCTTAAAAATATTTATATTCTGGATGTTACTGTAGACAGTAGAATAAAAAAGATACCTGAACTAGAGGTCAGAAGAAATGGATTTAAGTACCTGCCTTTTCACCTGGTTGTTATTTAATCCTGTGCAAGCCACTTATATCTTTTTAACACATTTAGTTACTTAATTTGTAAACTGTTATGGTGAAACTGCCACTTTAACTCATAGGATTTGAGAGGAGTAAATGAGATATTTATTATGTCCCTCAGTGTTCTCATATTAATATACCTATATTAATTTTTGAAACAAATGTGGGAAAGTGCTTTGAAACCTAGTTGAGTAATGCAAATATAGAGAGTTGTTCCATTTATGGTTCTTGATTTGGAACTCTGGGTTTCATCCTCTGACTATTGCATTTATTTCATTACTCCTTGGGAACCTGCTACTTGATGTGCTATTATTTAATGTGCATTTGTTTCTGCTTCTTCAAATAGATTCCATATTCTGGGGATAGGGTAAATTCAGTATTTAGTTTAGTGACTTGATTGATTACAATTATACTCTTATTGATGTTTGCTTTAGACAGCTTTGTCTCTGGTTAGCATGCTTTATTTTAACATACTTAGATTTGACATAAATGTTTCCTATAAAGTATTTTATCTACTAAATCAAGGACTTGTTTTTATTAGGCCTTCACAGAGCTTCAAGCTAAAGTTATTGACACCCAGCAGAAGGTGAAGCTTGCAGACATACAGATTGAACAGCTAAACAGAACGAAAAAGCATGCCCATCTTACAGATACAGAGATTATGACTTTGGTAGACGAGACTAACATGTATGAAGGTGTAGGAAGAATGTAAGTAAATTATGTCCTTAAGGGGGTTATGTTGGGAGATGTTTTGTCTGAAATAAATCATAGAAGTTGTTAATTTTAAAACTTGGGTTAAAGTGTCACAGTAACTTTAAAGATGATCTAGTTAAATGCCTTTTTTATTATTTTTTATGAGAATCTGAATCCCAGATAGATGTGTTTAATTTTTTTTTTTTTTCAAATTGTAAGAGAAAGTTTATTTAGACAGTCACAGAGGTAGAAATGAGCTGTAGGAGAAATGGGTTCAGGAAACAAGGTACACTGACAAAAAACAGGCCCTTGGAGCTTAGGAGAGAGAAAGGTAAAGCTTATGCCCAGGGAGGGGGTTAGAAGAGGGGGCCAGATGTGTTTAATTTTAGACTTTGAAGTACATTTCTTAAATATTTCCCTCTTCTCTCTATAATTAGATACTTAAAAGTGTGTAACTTTAATGATAAAAATGTGATTTGTCATGAAAAGATGTTCATAGTAATTGTGTGTGTAAATTTATTTAATTAGTTGTAGTTTTAACCTCCTCTTCCCTACCTAATTTATTAGAAGTCATACAATACAAATTATAAATCTTTCATATACCCTAAAATAAAAACATTCAATTGTCATTTAAATATACTCATTCTGTCATACATGAGATATTGAAACCAGTTTACCTTTTGTTTGCTCTAATTGTTATTATGTTTAACATATAATAACACTTCACTTTTTTCTTTTATGAGAGAACAGATCTGCAGCGTGTTTTCTGAGCAGTAAGTAAGGAATGGAAAAGCCCTTAACTACAGGTCACATTCCATCACAATGAGCTAAAAGGAGAAGACTGATTTTGGGAGGGGGGATAGGAGGAGGAGGGTTCTTCTGGAATTTGGTCTTTGACTGTTACTTAGTAAGTGGACCATTACTTGAAGTTTGGAGAGCTTTTAGTTCGAATGGAATTTGACCTTAGTCTTGGGATGACTTGTTTTGTGATTGATTTGAAGGAAACATAACATGTGTAATTTAGTAATGGCTTTGGAATGACATCATGAGAAGTAGACCCTGCTTCTGACTAGCTAATCCATATCTTTCTGGAAAACAGATAGATTATGATAAACTGTTCATCAGATTTGCTCTTTCAGAATAAACAGTATACCACAAATACGTTTTGACTTCAGAGTTCATATTTTTCATTTTAGCTTGTTTTAAAGAAAGAGAATCCCAATTTGAGAGTTTGTTACTGGGGCACAAAGCATTGAGTTGAGAACAAAGGAGAACCCTTGAATATGTGTCTATGTAGTATGAAGTGAATTGTTGGCATTCATGACAGGATAATTTTATCCTTAATGTGAATATCCTTAGGTCTTAAAACAGTAATGCAAGCTTTTCTAGCATGGTTAACATGTTGTCCTTGGATTTCACATCACTACATTAGCCTGTTTGCAACAGCTAAAGAATCTTTTTCCAAAATAGAAAAACTCTTTGACTATCTTTGGCTTTTGAGCTACCAGTGAAGTTTTTATTTTTAATTAGAATAATTTCATTTATTGAACATTCTACAGAAGTGATAGGAGTATTGCTTTTTTTGCACACTGCCTGAAGTGCTACAGATAGGTTGCATTCCACACAAAGAATTGTAGAATTCAAAGGCTGGAATATGAATTAATGGTAGAACAGTAGTATTTCCAGAAGAATTATTTTAGATTATGTTTTTAAAAAGCAATATGTAGTTTTAAATGTTTGGATAAAGTAGAACTCCTATATGGTTTCAAATTTTGGTTTTAAATTTGACTTCTGTGCTTTTTGCATCTCACTGGGAGTGTGCGTTTGACCCTGCATTGTAGGGGCATGTAAGGTGAATAGTGTTTGTTGCTTGGCTAGAGTATTAGTGCCCTCAGGAAGAAAAGACTTGCTGAGTATTAGTCTGGTCATGAGGAGGTTCTTTTTCTTGATTCTAAACCTGAAATATCTATTTCTGAATTTATAGTCTTGGGTAATCTTGAATATCATTGTGATTTACTTTTAATTCTAGTCTTTACCTTACGTTGTCTTATCTTTTCCTTTTTGAGTATTATTTGGGAATTCTAATTAGAATAATAATTTTTCTCAAATTGTTGTTTTGAAACCATGACTTATAAAATCCAAAGCACTCCATTTTTGTTTTAGAACCTGCAGTAGATTTTTGCCACCACTGAAATGAAGGCCTCATTATATCTTGCCTAGATTATTGCAGTAGCATCTTAACTGTTCTTTCTGCCTTTATTCTGTCTGTCCAAATGCATTCTTACACATCTGCCCGAGTTGATCACATCAACTTTCTTCATAAAGTCTTCTGTTCATCCTCTGTTTTCCACAGGATAAAATTTAAACTTGTTAGCCTGGCATTTATGATCATTCATAATCCATCTTTAATTTATCCTTTTAGCCTCAACTCCTCCCACTTTCTTTTCCCAGACTCAAGATACCTTATAAATTTCATCTCATGGACTTTCTTCCATTGGTTTTGGGTTATCTGTTGAGAAGAGTTTGAGTCTCATGTGAACTTAAAACATGTTTTAATTGATTAGTGCTGTCTGTCATGGAGTAGCACATATAACTAGAAATTTTTATCCTTACCCTTGTCACATGGGCTTCCTCACATGTGCCATGTTTTGTGCTTTATTGCTTTTGCTCATTTTGTCCTTCCTGGCCTGAGATATTCGACTTGCCTTTGTGAAATTATCATCTTTTAAGACGTAGCTCATATTCTCTTCAGATTATTCCCTTCTGGCAGAGTTAATCACATTTCTGGGATGGTATCAGCGCTTTTTGTTCCTATAGCTAGTAGAGAACACACACACACACACACACACACACACACACACACAGCGCGCTTTTGTTCCTATAGCTAGTAGAGAACACACACACACACACACACACACACACACACACACGGAAAGGGAGAGATTGATAAACGGACCAGTGTCTCAAACTACATTGTCAGCTCTGTGAGACCACATACATACATATTTATTTTTGTTTCTTCAGTTCTTAGCATAATGTCTGGCACAAAATAGATGTAAAATGTGTGTTGATTTGAATTGAATGTGATTCTCTTGCCTAAAATACTGCATTTTCTTTTGGTTCTTTAGAAAGAAAATATGTTTAGAAAATGTCAGAGACTTAGTATTAGACTTTATTATTCTGTTTTAATATTATAATTCAATAAAGATGAAATTATAAAAGTAACAGATATTTTTACTAACGTCAACGGAATTGTTTCTGACCAAAATTATGTCCTTTGATCTGACTCAATTAAGTCTTTATTAAATTTATTGAGAAGGTTGACTAATTCTAAGTACCAACCAGTTGCAGAGAGATGCAGTCAGAACTGATTATATAGAAAAATCCAAGCCTTTGAAATTAAGGTGAGCGCAGTATAACTCTTGGAGAATAAAGGCTATTCTATGTACAACAATATCAATATAATTATATCTATTTTACCTTGCTCATGTTCACATAGGATGAAAGTCAGATTTTTCTTTTTAGGGTATGTATTTAGTTTACGAAATCATTGCAAGCCCAGATGCCTTTCAGGTCACAAATATGGAGAATTTGGTAGTGTTAAATACCTCTTATATATGGCTGTTTTGGACTTAAAACAAGGAAAATTAAGCTGCAGTGTGAAAGGTGATGAATTGCTATATACTGTAAGCTCTGCGTATTTGTTACTCAAAGCTATATTCCATCCAGTCCCTTGGCATGTTGCCAGCACATTTTAGTTCTGTTACTTCATATTCTTTGGAGAGGCTGTTATGTAGCCTGATACTACTACCACCAATTTCTAGTTTTACTCCTTAAGCTGTTTGTGAGCTGACCTCACCATACTGCTTTGAGAACTATGATGAAAGTTACAACTGTGGAATGATCTGTCTGAATAGTTGGAAGTGTTTGTCTTTGCATCTTTCTAGCATGCAAGGAGGGAATCAAATAAATATTACATAAATGTTTCTTGTATCTTTTTTTTTGAGTAAGAACTTGTTCATAATGGTATATGGTAGTTTTCTTCCTTTTTACTTTGCATAGAAGTAGAGTATTTTTAAAAAAATAGGTTTTTAATGATTTTTTTAGAGAGAAAAGAAGGGAAAGAGAGATAGAAACATTGATGTGAGAGAGATAAATCATCGATTGGCTGCCTCCTGTATACCCCTCACTTGGGATTGAGCCTGCAGCCCGAGCATGTGGCCTGACCACAAATCAAACTGGGATCTCTCAGTCCATGGGACCACGCTTAATCCACTGAGCCACACCAGCCAGGCTAGAGTCTTTTTTTTAAAAAAAAATAATTACATTTGAAAGTACACATAAATGACATTTAACCATGCTACTATTTGAAAGGACCATCATTAGGATACATTTCAGACTTATTTTTTATTAACAATAAGTATGATCCTGAGCCTAATTTGATGTCAGGTCTATTATTCTAATATCCTTTTGCTTGAGCATTATATAAATAACATTTCTTCTTTCCAAAAGAGACAAATTAAGCTTTTTATTTTTTTAATATGAGAGGAACTTGAGTAGATTAGCCTTTGAGAATGATTAGTGCCTTTTTAAACTTGAACCTAACCAAAAATAACTTTGTACCATATTTAAACTAATTTAGAGATATGCCACCATTCTGTGGGTATTTTTTACATTTAAGGAACTAAGAATGAACAATGGTATAAATCTACCAACTAGATAAGTGTCTAGCAATGCAGAAATTGCTGTTTGGGAGCAGTGTTGCTATTTCTACTTGTTGAAGTAATTTGATGGTTGATCTCTAATGGTTAAAAGATCCAGAAGTGTAAGACTTGAGATAAATGTGGCACAGGTAGAAAGTGAAAACAGTAGGTCTATTCCTGATTGGTAATAAATTTTTAAAAATATATAAATAATTGAGTAATTTTTCAACTAATTAGGATGTAGAAATCTGAACTGTCCACAGCAGCTTGGTTGAACTGCCTGCCCTTTGTTTAAAATGTTATGTTGGTTTT